TCAATGGTTACATCAATGAAGAAGTATATGTTGAGCAACTTCATGGTTTTGAAGATGATAAGAAGCACAACCATATGTACAAGTTGAAGAAGGCATTGTATGGCTTGAAGCAAGCACCTAGAGAATGGTATGAGAGATTGAGGGACTTCCTACTCTCTAAAGGGTTCATGATGAGCAAGGTTGACACCACTCTTTTCATCAAGAAAATTGGAAAAGATCTATTTGTATTGCAAATCTATGTTGATGACATCATATTTAGATTAACCAATCAAGACTTTTATGATGAGTTTGGAAAAATAATGGCTAATGAGTTTGAGATGTCCATGATTGGAGAGTTGAGTTACTTCATTGGTCTTCAAATCAAGCAATTGAAGAATGGTACATTTGTGAGTCAAGGCAAGTATATCAAGAACATGACCAAGAAGTTTGACATGAATGATAGTAAAACCATTAGCACACCAATGGGAACAAATGACAACTTGGATAGTGATGCAAGTGGAAATATGGTGGATCAAAAATTGCATTGGTCTATGATTGGAAGCCTACTCTATGTGATCGCATCAAGACCGGATGTCATGTTTAGTGTATGCATGTATGCAAGATTTCAAGTCTCACCAAGAGAAAGTCATTTGAAGGCTATAAAGAGAATATTGAGGTATTTGAATCATACACCAAATATTGGTTTGTGGTATCCCAAAGGAGCAAAGTTTGAGCTAGTTGGTTACTCCGACTCGGATTATGCGGGATGCAAGGTTGAAAGGAAGAGCACCTCGGGTACATATCAATTGTTGGGAAGATCACTTGTTTCATGGTCATCAAAGAAGCAAAATAGTGTTGCATTATCAACCGCCGAAGCCGAATACATATCCATCGGTAGTTGTGTGCACAAATACTTTGGATGAAGGTCACTTTGAGTGATTTTAGAATCAAGTTCAAGAAAGTGTCATTGCTATGTGACAATGAGAGTGCAATCAAGTTAACCAACAATCCAGTTCAACATGCAAGAACAAAACACATTGATGTCCGCCACCATTTCACAAGAGATCACCAACAAAAAGGGGACATTTGCATTGAGAGTATAGGCACCGAAGATCAACCTGCCGATATATTCACCAAGCCATTGGATGAGAAAAGGTTTTGCAAGCTAAGGAATGAGTTGAACATATTGGATTTCTCAAATATGTGTTGATGCACCCCCCCCCCACTTATATGACATGCCTCTCCTTCGAGCTATCCAAGGTAAAAGTTAATTGGCATGGCATACATCCTTGCTAAGGACATGACTAGTGCATCTAGACATTTCTCCATTTTATTAGGCTCATTCATGAAAATCAAATGATTTTGATGATTATATGGTATCACTATTGCTTCTATGCTTAACTTGATCTAGTGGTAGCATATAACATGTTTATGGGCTTGCAAACCTAGTGTTTAATCTAGAAAATGAGCTCTAAGTGTTTAACTCAACAAGGTACAAGATAACCCTTATTTAGAGGTGTGAAGAAGCTTGTCCTTGGATCAAACCGAGTTAAATATCTTTGGCAACTAATTTAGTTTGAACCAAATTTAAGAATATGATCCTCACCCCATTGATTGACATTGATAATCTCGACCCTACAAATGGTATTATCTATATTTTTAAACCTTTGTGGTCATTGATGACAAAGGGGAAGAAAATAGTGCACAAAGATAGTAAATAGACATCAAATAGGAGAGAAATAAAGATATAAGTAATAGGAGGAGAACTTGACATATGAGGAGTAATATGACAAAGGAAAGGGATCAATTAAAAGTTTGAGCACACAAGTAGGGGGAGCAAACTCATGAACTTGTATGGTGCATTTGAATGTGCATTTCATATGTTTGCTTGCATAACACAAGTTTTAATTTAAATATCCATGATTGTGTGATGAATGATAGTTGTAAATTTGAATGATGAAATGAAAATCTAGCATGCATAGGTTTATTCATAAGTGATATCATTTCCCAGTATTATCAAGTGATATCTATTCCAAATAGATTTTCAAGTAGTATCTTTTACAAAGTTTTTACAAGTGGTATCTAGCTAACCATAGTGCTAAGGTTCACTAGTTCACTGGTCCAACCGTTAATAACCGGTTGAACCACCGGTTCGATAGTTTTGGACCGGATGAATTGAACCGCCCAGAATTACTTTGAACCGATGCAATATAATAATATATAATACTAGATAATTAGTAACATATAGTTGATCACGTATACAAATAAGATGATAAAAAACACAATTATATAACCTGCTTCTCACTAATTGGTGCTCTAGATTTGATTCACAACATATAAAAAAATGTGTATGAAAACATATAATATAATTTGTACAAAAATGACTAGAATAGTAATTTAAATATTCGTTGTTGCAAAATAATCTCGAAAGGTAAAATAAAGTGCACCATTGCGAATAACTCGTTAAGATAATCAAAATAGATATATTATTTATCTTATTTAGAGCTCATTTGAAAAAGTTATGAAGTTATGCAATTTAAAAGTCAACCAAGCCTGGAGCAGTGCACCACGCATGCAACATTCAAATTCCAAAGCAGCAGCCCAGCGGGCCCAGCGGTGGCAGGCGCACGCACTCAGCACTCCACGTCTCCACACGGCACACGTCTCCACACGGCACTCCACGTCTCCAACGCTGTAGCAGCATGCACGTACGCTATCAGCACGGACGTGGACGGTTCATAAGGAACCGGCCGGTTCCGTAAAAAACCGGCCGGTTCAACCGGTTTTTTTAGCGCTTCTATTGCACAGACGGTTTTTTAGTGAATCGGACTGGTCTAGGCTCTGATTTGGTCTTTTAGCGGTCGAATCGCTGGTCCGGTCCGATCCTAATAACTAGGCAAGCAAGTGAACATCGATAAAAATTATTGTGTTCATCCTTTAATTCCAAGGTGATTGGCCTTTATTGTTATTCACTCTTGTGGTTGATTGGTTTCTTCGTCTACACGGCGGTATAACTTTTTTGATCACTCTCTTTACATTACTGTAAACTAGTTGTCAAACTCTTTAGTGTAGCTAGTTGTGAGAGCTTGCTTACTTGGTTGGTGTGGCTCTTTAGTTAGCCTTTGAGAGCACACTAACATAGGGGCCCGTTCGGCTTGCTGAAACTTGGCTGAATTGGTTGAAAAGTACTGTTCTTGCTGAATTGTTGTGAGAGAAAAACACTGTTCCGACTGAAAAAACAAGCTGAATAGTGCGGATTATAAGGTAAGCCGAACGGGGCCAGGGTAGTGTCATAGCTATTGTGTGAATAGATACTATCTAAACTAGAATTGTGGTAGGTGGCTTGCGTTTTGAGTAGGCTAGCGCAACTCTTGCTTCGCCTCATAATTGTCTAACCATTTTGTTGAGTGTTGTTGTAGAAATTTTATTAGGCTATTCACCCCTCTCTAGCCATTAGGACCTTTCAGCTATGCAGTGCAATAAGCTTCGAAAGGTCATTGTCTGGATTTATCTGGTGCGCTAAGTTTGTATTTTGTTATTATTTCTTTGGTGCACTAAGTTTGTATACAATGTAGCTACTTCTCTCGTCATAAATTTCTGAAATTTCGATCATCTTTGAATTACTAAGTCTCTCTACAACCCATTTATTTCCCAGGTAACTCAATAGTTTTAGTCTCTCTATTAACATTACAGGTTGACTTGCGAGTTTTCACTTACATTTCGGTTCTCTGTTCTCTACGGTCAGTGAGTTAGAAAAAAATCGAAGGTGTATTTGACCAGGAAGGAGGTGCCTAATGAAGCTTACAGATTTGTTTCTGTTTTGAATATTAGCAATTTGCATGGATAAAAATAAAAATGGGATTTCAATAATATGCATATGATTGCACGTGTGCAAATCGGTCCTCGGCTCTCATTATTGAGTTAATAATCTCCATTGCTATTGTTGTAGTTTTTTTTTGCCACAAGGACGTTGCCCTTTTTAAAATATTAATCAAGTAGTTGTGTAGTATTTTAGTTTTTTTTTACCACAGTGAAGTTACCAGTAGGAGTGCGTCTCCGAGTTCATCTCCTTCATCGCCAGAGCAAGTGAGTTCACACCGCCCAGAGCTACATGGATTGGTGGAGGCCAACCATCATCAAAACAAAGGATATCCATGTGTGGAAGATTAAAGAATTGATTAATAGAGTATCATGTATGTTAGTTGATTCTATACTTCATAGAGAATTTATCTCGAGCTGTAAGCTGAACACTGAAAGTTCAATCAACTGATGACTGATGACTTAGGAGTTGCAAAGAGTTTTCTGTATAACAGTATACAGTTGCATCCGTTCTGCATTTTCAAAGTTGTTTAAACTTCCTGGTGACCAACAAAGAGTTTCTTAATAATAGTTGCATTGATTCTGCATTTTCAAAGTCTATCTACATTTTTAGGTCCACGCAGTAGAGTTTACAAGCCTACAATGCCATGCTTTCTGTAATTGTTAATTTCACAAAATTTATGTTTTGAATTAAATGTCACCTTAATATCGGTTAATTTCACAGTATTGTTATTTTATCATGCAATCCGTATGTTTTTATTACAAAAGTTTAGCTGACCCTAGCAACGCCCAGCATGAACCTAGTAAAAAGAAAAAAAAAAGAAACATGCATGCCAGTACGACGAAAGTAGGTAACCCTGATTTCAGCAATATCTCTACTCAACAGATCGAAAACATATAAATTGAATAAATAGATCATTGATAAGACGTCTTGCTGGCATTCTCAATTCCGGATTCGCAAATCAACCTCCAAGTTCCAACAGAATTTGATTCGCAACACCAGAATGCCAAAGAACATTGACTATACACGCAGATCTCGCTACTGTTCATCTCACAGAGCGGGAACTGCCATGCCTCCACCCTTCCAGCTTCCAATACCAACCAAGGAAAACCCACAATTCTTCAAGTAATGGACTTGCGAGCACATGCTAATGTCCTTGGCGCAAACATCAATTTCAGTTAACTTGGTGCTGGCTGAACTTTTAGTCGTCGTCACATGGCAGTAGTGTTGGTATTTGCCCGTTATCGACAAAATCAACTTTGTTTAGCCTTACACTGCACAGGACATGCTCTGGAAGTTCCTCCTGCTTCTGGGCCTGTGTCAATGGTCAGCATGTTCGGTTTATCAAGAAATTAGTCTGAATCTGTAACTTAACATGATGACAATATGCTGTGTACATTACAAGTATCGCTGTTCATGGTTTGCATGAAAGAACAGCTACTAGGCAAGTGGTACAGTTTGAAGGTTCATATTACATTTCCCGATGATCCAAAGTAACATTCAGCAGCCCAAGCTATTAGTACAAGATAGAGTTCTTTAGGTCAGTTTTATCTTCAGATATTCTTAACAACTTTCAGGCAGATATTGAATTGGCAAATGGCATTTCTTTTGTGTTATGGATATGAATTAAGAAGGCAGAAATAACCATCAACCTACCTGTATGGTAAGGCCGAGATCAATCACCCCATGTTTCAATCGTTCTCGGAATGCTTCGAGCCCTTTCCTTGAGATGAAGCTAAAGCGGTGTACATCAAGGTCGATCTCCAAGTAATTTGATCCCTGCAACATACCCCAATGTCATGTAAGGGTCAAGATGAAAGAGAGGAAAAATAGAACCATACAAAACAAAGCAACTCACCACATAAAAGTTGTGCTGAGGCCTTGAGAGGACTGGCTTTTCATTGTAAGCCTGAACAAGCTTCCTCTCTGCAGAACTCAGATTCATGTCATCTGGGTTAACTAACCCTGCCAATATCTTCAATCTTTCTCTGAAAGGGACTGTTGAGTCCAATGGGAAACCCTTAACCTTTTCTATTTCGTCGTTTACAAGTCTCTGAAAACAAACAAACCAAGACAGAAATTCAGTACAGTTCAGCCATGGATTAGTAGGCATCAGCAATTTGTGAAACGAGACGCCATCCAACGGTGGAGAAGTTTACCTTGATGCTGTCATGAAACTGGGGAGAAATTTCTTTCTCAAAGTTATCATTCAGTTTGAAATATAGCACTAGATTAATCCCTTCCCCATCACTATCACCAAGGAACATAGCAGCAGGATATGTAGGCATCTGCATGGAACAAGTATTTGTAATCACTGGAATCATTAACATGTCAAATCTCAAGGCAGAAAATCTGGTGATCATACCTGAATGTTTACGATAAGTAGTGAAGGAATTTTTTCATTTGGCTTTACAGATGGAAGCTCAATATGCTGGGCAACGTGGTGAATTTTCCTCGGGGACATGAATATGTCCACACCAAATGGAGTGTATGGAGAACAAGATGGGGCAGGAGACTTCTTTTTGTCCCTGCAAGTAACTATAAATTAGTACAAAATGAAGTTCATGAGACATCACATGCATTTGTGGAGCAATTCTTACTTGAAAAAACTTTCCCCTCGCAGCTTGAATGTCGAAGGCTCAAGCACAGACCAACAACCTTCAGAAATTTTCTCACCAGCTTGCGGAACCAATAATCCAGCTCGTGGGTGGATCAAGTACCTTCTCGAGGAACCTACATTTATAGAAATTTAACAGCAATCAGGTTGTTAGTCCTGGCTACCACCATTCACTGAAAACAAAAGGTGAACACATCTGAGCAAAACATACATATTTCAGTAGTTTGTTCTCCATCGAAAGATTGCCTCTTGAAAGAAAGCCTGACAACAGCTGATTTCTTCTTGTGGCCCCGTGGACTTGCTACTGCCAATGGTTGGACCTTATTAGCATGGCGAGGCGTGCATACTGGTGTCAAACTTTTGAAGATGCTTTCATGAGGCTTCTCTCCATCTTTGAAAGACTTCAAGGTATTACATGCATCCTCGCCTCTTCTAAGTTTTGTCAGAATTTTTATACCCTCATTTCGTGTCTTTGCGTCCTCAACCTTTCCACTAGAGACATCACAAGCTTCTGGGCTTGCAACTTTCGGCCTCTCTGCTTCTAGTTTGTTTGCATCTCTTTTCAGGTACTGTCCAACAGCTTGAGCAACACTAGAACCATCAAAAATCCTTTCAAACTTCTGGATGGCATCAGCGATGGATGAAGCATCTTCACACTGCATCAATTGTGTACCTGTTGAATTTGACATAGCTGGGAGGTCTGCAAGAAAGATCAAACCTGAATATAAATGTCCCTTTCAACAAAAACGTCTGAATATTGTGTGTCAACTCTGTGCTTTTAGCAACAATCAAAATAGCTGAAAAGCAATACAAACCTCCATTGACACTGCTGAAGTCTTCGTCTGAGTCAGATCCCAAAATACTGACAGAGTCGAACCACGCTTCTTCTTGGCACACAACTGGACCAACAGGGAAAATACTGAATTTTAGTCCAGTTTGTTTTTTAAATGCAAGACTTTGCATTACTGGAACATATGCAAGGAAGAAAAAGTTTCCATTTACCATTTCCATTCTCTGTGTCCAGCTCACTGTGATGCCACTGCAATTGTGTGAGGTGGAATGTAACGTTTGAGCCATCAGATCTCTGCCGAGTAGCTGCAGCAGTCCCTAAATGGACTGCTTCTCCGGAAGAAGCAAAGTTCTCCACATTACTAGCACGTACTATAGGCGTATTGGTTAAAACCTTGCCGCGGTAGCGCCTGTAAATACAACATAATCTTTGCGATCTCTGCTTTTTGCTTGAAGATACACAGGCGCCCATAGTGGTTATAGACTGAATTTATTCAGCCCAAGAGGATTCTTCTTCACAGCATTTGACCAGATTGTCGATTTCAAGAAGCTGCACAGCAGAAAAGCATTTGACCAGATTGTGGATTTCAAGAGGATTCTTCTTCACAGCATTTGCCCTAACTACAATGCTTTCATAAATGAAGTAAGAAACCAAAAGACATCAATTTATGCTTTCTGTATTCCTATAACACCACCTATTACTGAAGTAGGAATGGTATTGAAGATGTTCAGACTTCAGAGTACTGAATCTACAACTTGACGACACTTTAACGAAACCAGGAAAGTATTGCATGCATTGATATGGAAAATAGATGTATAAACGAAAAGAAATGTAACACCAGAACAAAATGCATAAAATCTGAAGATAGAAGCCAGAAATGATATGAAGACTTTGGAACCCAAACTACCTGATGACAACTGGAGGCAAATAAGCCCAGGAGAGATACCAATAACCGACGCGCAGGCCACTCCCTATGACAGCCTGCAGACAAATCCATATTTTGACCATTAAAAATCACACATCTACACACAACATCCAGCTAAAAAAGAATCTAAAATATCCTGTATATTAGCATAAGAATCTAAAATATCACAAAACATAGGAGCAATTAAGTCTTCAGAAACAACTAGCACTCCAGATAGAAACTATAAATAAATACAAAGATTCTGCACAGTTTTAATTGCTCCCTTGAACTCTTCAGCTCAACAAGTTGACTTTAATGGCCACTAACACAAGTTGTTTAACCTTCCAAGAGGCAAAGAACACAGAAACCCAAAATGGGTAGAGGGACTGAAACTAGCACAAGACCTGGATTCTTCACCATAGCCAAGAACATTTCAAAATATAAAAGTTATTGTCAAAAGAAAAAAAAAAGTCATTTGAAAATGAAGAGAAAATGAATCGGCCCAACAAGAATCCGAAAGACTTGGACTCACGTCCCCACTAATTCCACGGATGACAGCTGAAAGAACCCAACCGAATCAAAGGCAAAACGCAACAAATTTTCGGGAACCATGGCATTTCTTCCGTACCCAAGAGCTGACGCGATTGATCAGAGAGGACACCTGAGCAGCAGAAGAACCCAACGAATCGAATCGGAATCCCAGCCTGATCCTAAAAGGTGGAGGCTCCGCCTTGAATCGCCAAAAACTAACTGTTCGGCATTGCAGGAGCCTACGAAAACACACATATTTATGCAGAAAAATCCCAGCCTTGACAGGTAAACCCCAGGTGTCTGCACCAAGAAACCAAGCTTGGCTTGCCGGCTTCGTCCATCCGGAGAAACAAAAACAAGAACAAGAAACCAAAAAAAAACTCTCAAACCGAGCCAAACCGAAACGCCACGACCAACAAATAAAGCCGTCCCTTTCCTGCCAAAAGCAGCAAAGATCCACCCAGAACTGCCAAGAACCAAAAACTTTCCCATTCCCGGCCACAAACTCGCCGGCCGCAGTCGCTCCCTGCGAAGAACAGTTACCAAGCACCGATTTTTCCCCCAAGTGATGAAACGGAGATAACCAACCGTCACACACGCACGCAGCGGAAACGAAGCATTACCCGCCCGAAGATTACGCGTGCCCCAGGAAGCGCCGGGGCAGCCGGGCCGGCGGCGAGGTTGCCGGGGCGGAGCAGTGCACGAGGAGGAGGATCAGAGCGAGGAAGGGGAGCAAGTGGGAGCCGCCGAGATGGTGGTGGTGGTGGTGGTTCGTGTGCTTGCGCGTGTGGCGTCTGCCGCGTCTGCGTATGGGTGTTATACTCCACGTGGGGGAGGGAGATTGAGAAGGTTCAGAGGAGGGAGGAAAGGTGGAAGTGGAGAAGAGCGACAGGGGAGAGGGGGAGGGGTGAAGATGGAGGTGGCTACAATACAAGGTTGCAGCCTTTCTCTCTCTCTCTAGCCTCTACAGTACATATCTCTTTTCTCCTGCTTCTGTTGCTTTTTTTAACGTTTTAACTTTTTTTAGATTGCAGTAGTACATTTTTTTACTTTTTCATTTTCCTATTTCTTTCTTTCTTATCTGCAGAAAAAGCTCCCTTTTGGCACCTTTTCGTGCTTTTGTGACTTGTGTGTCAGTGTGTGGGGTAGGCTTGGTTTGCATGGTTTTAAATTGTTTTCTGCAGACATAAATTGGTTCGTTGTGAATTTGGCCAAAGTTTGGTGAAGGAGGGAGGGGTGAGCTGGGAACAGTGGATGCTGCCATCCACCATCAATATGAACTGCTGCACAAACCCTGTGAAATTGAAGGCGACTTTTATAGCTGTGAATTGAATCCACAGAACATATGCATGCGTGGATTGCCATGGAAATGGGCACTGGTTGAGGTGCAGCCAGGCTTTTCAGGCTTTGTTTAAATCCAGTGTTTAAAGTTTTAGGGTGTCATATTAGGTGTTATGTTGTACGGGGTTTTCAGATACTAATAAAACAATAAATTATAGAATATGTCCGTGAGGCGAATTTATTAAGTCTAATTAATCTGTCGTTAACACATGTGTTACTGTAGCGCCACGTTGTCAAATCTAATTAGGGTTAAAAGATTCGTCTCGCAAATTAGTCGTAAACTGTGCAATTAGTTATTCTGTCTACCCAACAACTATGTGTTTTATGCAGTTTCAACACATGAATTTTTTTACCATAAAATTAAGATCCAACAGCCTCCATCTTCCTTCTATATTCAGCCTTCTTCTACCTTCAGATAATCACAAATCATAAGATCACAGATGTACAGATTCACAGATCATCCGAAACAATTTTTTTTTTTATGAAAGGACATATTAGGTATCCCGCTCATGCCGCCGTGTCAAAACTCATGTGGCTCCGTCACAGGGTCTTATTTTTTTCTCCCTCAGACGTCAGCCCACATGGACTGTTTCCACGCACGCGCAGCCAGCCAAAGCAAACAGACATACAGCCAAAACACAGAGAAAAAAATTAATATGTTTTTTTTTCTAAAACACACAAGTATTGTATAGCATTTCTATTTTTTTAATCTATATTTAATATTCCATACATATATCAAACATTCGATAGGATACGGAATACAAAACGAGGCCTCACTATCCTGCGTACAGTGTCCAGACTCCAGAGATACATGAAGAGAACAAGACTACTGTACCCATATACGAATACAGTTTGGTACTAACAGATATTGCGAACCGAACGGGAGTAACGACGCGCCAACGCAATTCTAGAAACTGTGCAATAAAAAGAAAAGATGACGGCGTCCACGGCCGTCCCAACAATTTCATGCAGGGGCTAGCATCTAATTTTTTTAGATTTATTTGCGATGTCTCCGACTTCAGTAACAGCTTCTATAGAGGAACTGAAAAGTCGTACCAAGCATGTTACGAGGAGCCGTTTTTCTGATAAACGGTAGAGATGTCATAGGTATTTTTGGATTAAAGAGGAGCTGAACAAGCTTTTTAATATGACGATTAAAGTATATAGAACTACTAATACGAGTTGCAACATACGTCGGAAATGATCGAGAATAGCCGATTATCAGGATAGAAAGCGACAACAAGCTAATTCCTGTCTGACTTATGTTAAGTGTATGAGCCTTTTTTTTTTGAGAATTACACATCAGACCAAATATACTATATACAAGCATATACTCATAACCTCACGCCTCGCAGGTGTTGTCCACCCCTAAGAGCAAGGCTAATAATACATCATGTTGTTGGCTGTATGTAAACTTACAACCAATTTATTAGCCCATAGTTAGCCAACTTACAGCCTACTTATTTGTCTTTCAAGATTTCTTAGTTTTTGTGCATAAACTGGCTGTAAGTTTACAACTCGATTCTCTTCGCTGTCGTCAACCTCAACGTACAACCCACTTCAGTCGTTTATTATACTTTTTCTAAGAGCCTTGACGACCTCTGTGGAAACCCTGTGAAGTTCAGGGGCTAATATAGACTACTCCCTCTGTCTTAAATACAAATCGTTTATGCTTCTCGAGAAGTTAGTTTTTTTTTAACTTTGACCAATTATATATAAAAGAATATTAAAATTTATAATGCATAATTAATATCATTAGATTGATCGTATAATAAACTTATTTGAAGATATAAATATTGCACGTATTTTCTACAAACTTAGTCAAAGTCAAGATAATTTGACCTGCACATCACGCACTGCTGAAATACTACCGGAGGTGTTTGCTCGAAATAGCCACTTTACTCCGTAGTAGCAATAGAAAAGGGTTGGCCTGCTTCTGTTGCTTGGCCCCTTTGGCCGGTGTCAAATAATTATATGCAGACGGATGCTCGAAATTACACAAATTAATCTGCAGTGCCCGAGAGAAGATGATGCTAGAGGTGCATGCTGGACAATGCACGCTCCGATCCAGAGCAGACTATCATGACTAGTGACAAAATGCTGCAGAATCCGATAGGGGCGCGGAGCACCAAAAATGTTGGGCTTGTCTATGCAGTGGTACCCATGATGTCTCTCTCTGCGTCCCAGATCCCCCTAGGCAAAAAAAATGATGTCACCCTACCCTACCCAGCGTGCTTTCTTCCGCACTTTCAAAAACTTGTCGTATGGGTTATTCGCAAAAGTGCTTTTCGTCTCAACGTCAACAACTCAACATACACCTCCAACGCGGCCGATAATAGTCATTCTAATCCAGTAAGCAAAGCTAGTACTTAACGGCACTTGTCTACAAATTTGTTTTGATCCATCCGACTAAAGCTTAGCTAGCGAAAATTACAAAGCTAAAATTTAGTCAGCTAAAAGTTTTTCCTACTAAACTTTAGCTAAGGACCCTGTTCGCTGGGAGGAATTTAGAGGAATCTGGATGAATCTATAAAATTTTATGAGAGAGTGAACAGTATTTTTCAGCCGTAAACAGTAAATTCCGGCTGATTTTAAGGGCAGGTGAACGAAGCCAACGTGTTTAGATCCTCTAATTAATAGACTCAGCTAAACTTTGCTAAGTTAGATGGGTTAAAAACAGCTAAACTTTGAGCCC